AGGCAGTTTAACAAATGTATTTTACTCTCACCAGCATGTTCATGCTTAACTGTTAAAAAATAATTCCCACGCAGTCAACCTCGTGTTTCTAGACGGGTCTTCCACCCAGTAATAATCTTTCAATCATCTAAAACTAATGCATGATTGGTAACCTATATGATTGCCATTGTTTTGGAAAAACTGCAGAAAACTACACATACACAGACCAACTTTATTCTCAACTTGAATTTGCAGTCTTTCAGACATAAAAGCAAAAGGGGAGCTGATGTTTCAGATAATTACTTTTCAATAATATACGTGCCGCATTTGCTGCTGAATATACCCATCGATTCTAATTCCTCTCCTGATTTCTTAAAATACACATTGTTATCTTCTCAAACACATCCGGTAAAACGTTGAGCATTCGAAGAACTTTAGCATTCGACTTCCCTTTTGCAATTATATATTCAAACTGGACTGATCCTGGAATATTATTCGAATTGAATATAATACTCTCGGTATTTATAGTATTCTCTTCGTCGTGGGGGTCCAGTTCTTTGATTTGCTGTTTAAATATAACAAAATTGGTACAGATTTAAAATTCTGAAGAATAGTTGAATATTTTAATTTACGGCGATATATTCAAAGTTTAACTGCAAAATGTATAAAATACAGCTTATCACTAGGTATTTTAGGAAACTAAACTTGAGACAAAATTAAATTTGTGCTGCTAGTGTTTCTGTATGTACTCATATTCAGTGAATGATATAATTATGTTCCATAAAGGAAAATCGCAACCGTGCACGTTTAACCTGCTCCCACACCTTTTTCGTTTACTTGAAAATAGTTTCTTTGCCTAGCCAATTCCTACGCGTGTTAACCAACTGAATTTACCAAAGTCTTTTCAATTAAGTTCGGTTTCGTCATCTGGAAGCTGCCAGACACTTTCACTTAAAAGTCGATTGCTTAAGCTAGAAAGTAGGTAACAGAGTTGATTGCCTATTCTACTCTGCAGAACGCTTTCAACACCCAGTGGAACCTAAAATGCAAAAAATACATAGAATATTGTTAGTCTCCTCTTGCTGACGAAAACTACAATACTTCCAACATCAGACACCTCTCCAAACATAACTTTCGTTTATTGTGTCAACGTTTGCACATATGGGGTAAACACAGGGGTATCAAACGATGGTGTATGAGAAGGTAAGTGTTAAAACATAATTCCTGGTAGAAAGTGATTTTTAGCTTCGGAAATGTTACGTTACAACTGATGAGGTATTTTGATGTGGAATTCATCACGTTTGGTAGGCACCCACGCGTACGCGCTCCTTCGACAAATTGAAGCTTGAGTTGCGTGTTAGAGTCGATTTCTTTTAGCAATCTCATGTCAATCCTCTTTAATGTGCTAAGCAGATAATCGAAAGGACTTCCAAATGCATCATCAGAGTAGAGTTCGTTGCATTTGTTGTGCACACCGAAATTATTATCGAGCGCAGCTGTAAGTATTTGTTTGTAGATAAATTGTCTAGTTCTCTATTTTAAATAAATACTAAAGCAAACAATAAATAACTCTGTGTTTGTCAGTAAAGGCCTCGCAGGACAAGTTATTGCCATAGAAAACAGGATGTTGCAATCGTAACTGAGTGCAATTCCACTAAATAAAAACGGGCCATCTCTAATCATACAGTATTTGCAAGGATCAGTCCTAAATCACTCGCTTTAATATTTTTATCCAGATAAAATTAATTCAGGAAATAAACTAATTGTAGGATTTCGTGCGCGTTATAGATTTAAAGCACGGTATGCCATATAATGTGCACTAATTACTTGGTTTTGATACAAAATGCAATTTTGAATGGCTTTATATAATTTTACATTTCGTGTTCTGTAAAATATTGATTCTGGCAAAAACGATTGCGTTTGCAGCTGGTAATATACCCCGAGGCTTAAAGGATATGGCATCAAACAATGATATAATATTGGCAATTATAACATAACAAAAAACCTCGAAAAACCAGAAACAATCTTCGACTATGATTAAGTGTCATAAAGGCTGACTAGGATTCACTTTATTCAAAATGTAAAATAAAGGTCAAATTGTGAGTAATGGATCTGATCATTAAGCAGTTGCACGTTTTCCTAAATGTCTCACGTATTGAGATAAATATGCAGTTTGTGCATAATTGTAAATGACCGGCGTCAGTAATAGGTATTCATAAAATAATATAAAATGCGAGGATGAATGTAGCAATTTGAAAACGAATTCTTATCTCGCGCAGATGCAAAACGCGATTTGCTTAAGAGCTGTGAACTATTAACATACCGTCAATCTCCCACATTAACTGAAGCACTGCAATGGGATCAAGATGCTGCCATAGAAAAAAGGATGTTGCAATCGTAACTGAGTGCAATTCCACTAAGTAATAACGCAACACCTTTAATTGCACAGTCTTTGGAAGGACCGGCTCTAAATAACTCACTTTAATATTTTCTTTTAAAAAACATTAATCCAGAAAATATATTTATTGCACGTTTTCGTGCACTTTATAGATTTAAAGCCCAGCATGCATACAATGTCCACTAATTATTTGTTTATGAACTAGCGCAATGATACAAAATGCAATTAAAAGTGACTTCATTTAAATTAACATGTTGTGTTGTGTGATATATTGTTCCTGGAAAAACGACTGTGTTTGCATCTGCTGATAAACGCCGAGGCTTAAAGGATATGCTACTACAGAGTGATATAATATAGAAATTATAAAATAACGAAAAACTACGAAAAACGAGGAACAATCTTCGATTATAATTAACTGTCGTAAAGGCTGACTAGGATTCACCTAGCTCAAAAATGTAAAATAAAGGTCGAATTGTGAATAATTGGTTCGATCGTCAAGTACTTGCAAGTTTCCCTAAATGTTTTTCGTTTTAAGATAAATATGCAGCATGTGCATAACTGTAAACGACTGACTTCAGTAATAGGCATTCATAAAATAATATAAAATACGAGCATGGATGTATCAATTTGAAAACTAATTCTTATCTCGCGCAGATGCGAATCGCGATTTGCTTAAGAGCAGTGAACTATTAACATACCATCAATCTCCCACATAAATTGAAGCACCGCAATGGGAAAAAATAAACACCACAACATCGCGCACATGATGAACTAGAAGCTGATCGCGGCATGGGGGATTTAAATTAGCTACGAGGGCCGTGACATCTGACACTGTGGTACAGAGACGGCGAATGAGTGGCTGCGCAGTTTGGGTATTATGTTCTTGAGGTCACTGCATGTGGGAAATCAGTGTTTTGTTCTCGCAGAGGGATAAATTGTTTGGTAGTAGTTAGGATGAAATAAACTCAGTAGTATATTATCCAGGATGCCGCGTGAAACGTTCCTGTTTTTAACTTTGTATGATAAAGGTTTGCTGCCCAGTGGGTTTCTATGTCATTTTGAACTGCCACATTCCATCTTTCCATTTAAACTAACGATTTGGCTCGAGATCATTCTTGATTGAATGCCAGTAGCTAATGAGTATGCTGTGAGGGAGATATTTGACGCGGATGTCGTAAAAAAGCGCATGTTTCAGCATTGGTTTACAAATGTTGTAAAGAAGATGGTAGTATGGATAATTAAAAAGGCCAGCCACGGCTAAATAAAGCAGGAGGCGCCTCACTAAGGACAATTAAGGAAAATTGTGCAGCAATGATTATCTCAAGGAGTAACAGATAAGACGAGCACTCATAATGCAAATGTAGCCAAAAGTGACGGTAGACGATACTAGCTATACATTGATTAAAAGAATACGTCCTGAGTAGAGGCGTGCGATTTTGAAGTCTGCCATTGAAAACTGAAGTAAATTCTTTACCAATATATCACAAATTCCCACCTATGCCACATTAATAACCCTCATGCTGATCAGAAGAAGAAGCGATCGCAGGAAAAGGGTATTTATTCGCGTGAAGTTTCGGATTCTTACTTGAATCCATCATCAGAGACAGTAGCACAAAAGGGTGACTCGTGCACAGGAAGTTACAGTATTTATAGGATGCAGTCCCTATGCTACCGCATACCTATAGCAATTAACCGCGTTCCCCTTCATGAAGGATCGTTGCCAGCTGGTGCGCTAATTGCTTGCTGGGCGGCATGCAACTTGTTAATTACCGAAATGTCATCACCCATGTTGGATGCTGGCGTGATGTTTGCTCGGCCATCTGGCTCACCGGCTTGCGCGCGCCCCGAGTGATCAATTACCTTGGCCAACCTATGCCTCAGCACGCAGTATGGAGTGGCCATGCCGTTGCACTTGTTGATTGAGGTCCCGTGAACCATGACTCAAGCAACTCGCGGCTCACACAATTATCCCCTCTCGCGAGAATTTCCGCCTTATCGAACTTGAATGTGCGGCCGGGTCTCGACGAATGGACTGCGACCTGAGAGTTGGCGTCATTCCTCCGTACCGCTGCCGCACGTTCGGCAATTCGCGTTCGGATCAGTATTCCAGTTTCTCCGACGTAGTTGCTATGTCCGCAACTGCACCAGATGCAGTAAACGACTCTAGATGTTTCATGTCGTGGCAGTGGGTCTTTTGGTCTCATCACCTGACGCCTCATATAGGCCTCCGGTCTCTGTGCAACTCCAACGCCAAGAGGTGCAAGAAGGCGGCTAACGGCCTCGGCGACATTCTTGATGTACGGAATCGCTCGGAGGAATTTGGGGTCAGTACGGTGAACATTTTCTTTGAAAACCCGTCGAAGATATTAGAATTCGGCAACCCTGTCTTCTGTTTCGCTGCAGCGCGTCTTAACAAGCCGATATATCGTTTTTACTGTATCCGATAACTACTGCAAGATAACAACGTGCTGCCGAAATGCGTTCAATACAAACCCCCGGTAAACACGGAGCTGGCGAGATGCGCAGTATTTCAGCACGGAAGACGTATGATCCGCATGCTCCTTCAAGATTGCAATGAGAGGCGTCGCAAATACCGTCAGAGAAGGCCAGATGCTGCGAGTTCATGGGCGAAAACGGTACCAGTCTGCTTCGACAGAAGGTGAGTGAACGAGCCCGTGAGCAGAGAGCGGCACGCGATGCAGCACTATGGAACAAGTTCCACAAACTGCCTGATCCAACGTCATCCAGAGGCGACACTCCGGGACACAACCTGTCCTCAAAGGAACTGACGAATGAGGAAGTACAGGTTTTACAGCACGAAGCCTCATTCAACACAGCCGACGCCAAACCTGTCAACATGATTGCAGCAGTGGAATCGGTCATTAATCAGACGGAAGCTGCGGAGGAAACGAAGAACTTTATCCGACACCAAGTGTCGTCCCTCCTTTTGACTCACAAGCCGCGCGAAATACTCCGTAAGGTCGAACGCAATGCACTAAGAGAAATCAAGGCCGACAAGGATATCGTCATCGTGCCCGCGGACAAGGGGCGCTCCACAGTCGTACTGGACAACACAGACTACCTTAAGAAGGCCAAAACCTACTGGAGGGTCGCCAGTTTTATGTCCCATGTGAAACCGACCCCGTAAAGACGCTGACACGCGAAATTAATGCGACATTGTTGGCACTGGAGAACTCGAGTGCAATAACACCGAACGACCGACGCATGGCGAGAGACCAAGAAACGGCATTGGCCCGATTCTATGGTCTCCCCAACGTGCACACGGAAGGCGTTCCTCCCCGGCACATTGTATCACTCAAAGGAACTCCAACGTACGGACGGGCAAAATGGCCGTTTCGGCGCCTCAGATTTCTGAGCGCTGATTCGGACACCACCGTATGTTCGTCAAAACAATTCCTGGAGAAGCTTAAAGGAGTAAGTTACTTGCCAAATGAGGTCATGGTATCTTTTGAGGTCACGTCGCTCTTAACTTCTATCCCCCACGATCTGGCAATCGAGACCTTCCAACTAATCCTTCGAAACAAGTACAATGAAACGGAGAATCGTCTTGGACAACTCAACGCTGTCTTCCCGGACATCCAATTTACGATGGAGGAGGAGGAAAACAATCAGCTGGCCTTCCTGGATGTCCTCGTCTGCCGCAAAGATTGTGGTGGCTTAAAAACCAAAGTGTTCAGGAAAGCGACAAATACGACGCAAATACTGAACTTCAATAACAACCACCCGATCAGTCACAAACGCAGTTGCGTAAGGGCTCTATACCGGCGTGTTGAGACGTACTGCAGCGAAACAGAAGACAGGGTTGCCGAATTCCAAAATCTTCGACAGGTTTTCAAAGAAAATGTTCACCCGCGCAACTTCGTCAGCCGGTGTATGCGCAAACGAGACGAGGGACAAAACCGTACTGACCCCAAATTCCTCCGAGCGATTCCGTACATCAAGAATGTCGCCGAGGCCGTTAGCCGCCTTCTTGCACCTCTTGGCGTTGGAGTTGCACAGAGACCGGAGGCCACTATGAGGCGTCAGGTGATAAGACCAAAAGACCCACTGCCACGGCATGAAGCATCTAGAGTCGTTTACTGCATCTGGTGCAGTTGCGGACATAGCAACTACGTCGGAGAAAGTGGAAGACTTATCCGAACGCGAATTGCCGAACGAGCGGCAGCGGTACGGAGGAATGACGCCAACTCTCAGGTCGCGGTCTATTCGAGGAGACCCCGCCTCACATTCAAGTTCGATGTGACCGAAATTATTGCGAGAGGGGATAATCGTGTAAGCCGCGAGTTGCTTGAGTCATGGTTCACGGGACCTCAATCAAAAAGTGCAACGCATGCCCACTCCATACTGTGTGCTGAGGCGTAGGCAGGCCAAGGTAATTGATCACTCGGGGCGCGCGCAAGCCGGTGAGCCAGATGGCCGAGCAAACATCACGCCAGCATCCAACATGGGTGATGACATTTCGGTAATTAACAAGTTGCATGCCGCCCAGCAAGCAATTAGCGCACCAGCTGGCAACGATCCTTCATGAAGGGGAACGCGGTTAATTGCTATAGGTATGCGGTAGCATAGGGACTGCATCCTATAAATACTGTAGCTTCCTGTGCACGAGTCACCCTTTTGTGCTATTGTCTCTGATGATGGATTCAAGTAAGAATCCGAAACTTCAGGCGAATAAATACCCTTTTCCTGCGATCGCTTCGTCTTCTTATCAACTAGTTCCTGGAAATCGCATTTTCGCTTCTATCGGTTACCTTCAGGCTCTTCTCTACGCTGATTTTACCTAATATAAGGATCGGCAGCTGATCGATATGGACTACCATACCCGTGAATATCTGGTGAATATTCGGTAGCTGCAACCATTTTCTAGAGTATCAATGGCCGCACTCACTGATCCTTTGTTTGTGGACGGCTGGGCGCTAAATGGTACAAACTGGCATGGAGAGGAATGGAGATCTTTTTGACGCCGTCCTTCCCAACGTCCTTTCGCCAATCAATCGACGAATACAGTCACCATGCACCAACCCACATCGAATATTGAGCACACCGAACCCCATTTAAATGACAATGAAGTCTCCTCAAGAGTAAATAAAATTCGCTTATTTTAGGAGTACAATTCCAACAAATATCAACGTCTTGCTCTTTGGATTTTTACTAATAATTAATAAGGGGCCGATGTGTCATGAGGACGGTTTTCCTCATTGTTGACCTCCTTTTCTTCTTCCTCTCCCATGCGTCAATCGGAAGCGTGAACTTGTCAACCACCTGGTACCCCAATTGGATCAGTGAATGACGCTGATTGCATGTCACCACATGCTCGCACGAATACTGCTGGGTCGATTAGGAGGTCAGTGGGCGAATCAGCCATCGGCATGGCGAGTCCATTTTTTTCCCCACGCATCGGCCTAATCAATCTCTTTCTAACCCCCAAAGCTGAGAACGACGACCTACTGCCTGGACCAGAAGCATCCATTTTTCACACTCCTTCAGGACTTTCAAACACTACATCAGTATATTCTAGTTTATGCCAAATCAGGACATCGGGATTCCCCGACAAAAACACCACAACTAAACCACGTCTCGCGTCCGAAACCGCCTCCACCACCGGCACCACCAACTTCACCGTCGCCAGTGTCGCCACGTCGGCCAGCTCAGCAGACAGAATTTGATTCTGTGTTTACTGCCACCGACCACAGGTCACTCGTGTTCAACTCACCCGCATTGCACAAGTACAGTCAGGCATCGCATGGGCCGGCTCGGCCATATGTGTCTGATCGAAAATCTTCAACTCTTAATGTCGTGCATGCTTCTAAATCAGCTTCTCGGACCTCCCGTCAACAATCATCTGATAACCCCCACCAAGCTCGCTTGGAAGCGAGTTCCACGGTCTGATAACCCGTTGGCTGAATGAAAATTTTTGTCTGTCTAGACGCGTGCGCTCATTCCCGACTATTATGGCATGGCTGCGTAGTTGGTTTCTACATGCCAACTGAAAGAAGTCCTCTGCTCTTAATGAGCAACCCTGGCCGCGGACAGTCGGATCGTTCAAAGTAGACTGCAGTTTATTCGTCTATAAGAGAGAGGGAATAAGCCAAGAAAATCCAGTCTCTCCTGATAAGACAAATGCTTAAGACCGTCGACCATCTTTGTCGCTTTGCGTTGCACCCATTCGAGTAAGTCGATATCCTTCCCCATCCATGGTGAAGCTGCTGGCTTTCCAAATTCTAGATGAGGCCTTACAAAGGCACCCAAAAGTCTGTCGGTATTATCAATGCAGATTAGACTACCTTGCAGTAGGCCTTCTTCTCTACTGAAAGGAAAATGTGCTGCCAAAGTCATCTGATGAACACATTAGGACTGTTGGAAATATTATTATGGTAGTGGAGCAACTACGCAGTGGGGATGTGAACAGAGGGAGCTACAATTTTCTGGCCACAATCCTCGTTGGATGAAAAGGCAGAAGTCACCTGAATGTGGGATATGATAGTGTACAGGGTCCTAAGTTGTCCTCTCAGGCGCGTCTACCGCCTGACTAATCCACGAAGCCTAGTGAACTTGACACATCGGAGTCCTAAATAATAACTCCAGACTGACCATGATGGCTGCCCTCAACAGCTCCCCAGAAGACAGAACGAAATAATGTTATTGACCATGAAGCAAACGACGAAATAAACGAATTGATCCAGCGGACATGCGGGTTTGAAAGCATGTGTCGATGATGACGGGAGCAGCTGGAAACGGGTAAGAGGGTGAGCCTGCGAGCTGTATGGAGGTGCAGTTGATGAAGATTGAAAGTCTCCAGCATGTCCATGAATATATTCGCCAAAAAAGAGCAAAAGAACGAGCTCATGCCTGTTCCGTCGACGTATGTATACATACTGCTATCGACTAGAACCTATGCTTTTAATGTTTACTTGAATAACAGTTTATTGATGACATTCATGGGTGTTCTTATATCCGACTGGTTAAGGTAATAAACACGCAGACATAATTTACGGCTTCCGTGATCTGTATATCCGTGAAAAGAGACAACCTATTTAGCGAAACCATGACCAATCTGCCAAAGTGGGAGCCCTTTACGATGTTAACGAAATCAAAGTCATCCTGATGGATAAGCGGTACCAGGTTAAACTGCGGGCGCATGCATTTCACACCGCTAGGGCTTTCGTTAAACCAGGCACCGGACGAACTGGTGTGCTATCTTTGTGGATATTTGGCAAGCCGCATAACAGGGCTATGTGTTTGTCGACAGGTCAGAGACCCTCAAGTTTGTTTTCTTTTATGAAACCATCCTTTGAAAGTCCACTTAATCTGTCGGGGAATGGTGATTCAATCTCATTCACACGATCTTTTCCCCTCTCTGTCCCTCTGCACCTTTCCTTGTTCGACAGCATTGTCTTTATTTTTACAATGTCCATCAAACAATGCGAGCTCTCCTATCTTTCCTACTTATTAGAATATCCTTAATCTGTGAACTCGTCAGAATGTTAGGTACTGATAAGTGTAGGTGACTGACGCGGACAAAGGAGTTTGCACGTTTTCTGCCGAAATCGGTAGGTAATCGTCCGTTTGATTATAAAAAATTTTTCCTTTTTCACGGTTTACCCTGATGATTGCAAAACAATTCATATTTTTAAATATGCGATAATGTGTTCTAAAATGCTATATCTCCAAAAAACCTGTTCGGTGATTCTCCTCACATCCCTTTTCTTACTCAAGTCGCCTCATTGCTCTATTGTCTGCGTATATACCAGAGACAACTACGGTCGTTTTGAACTCTTTCGTAGGCTTACAGTTCTTAACTGATCTCGTAAAATTTTGGCCGAAATTTCGAAATGCGTTTTGTGACTAGGAAGGATTAATAAGATAGCTTTGTGATACTAATTATCATCCGAGGTAACGGTATAGCCTTTCCGACTCTGCAGCATGTCGACTTTTGACCTCCTGCCGAAACTGTACTCGGTAAAAAACGACTATTGATATAGTATAAGTTTTTCACATTGATTTCTGAACATCGTAATAATTCAAATAAACTTTCTAGAAAATATTCACACAAATATTCTGTCTGTTACACGTTTCGTAGATAACCGCATAATCTTTACGTTTTATACCCGAACAGAGTGTGTATTTAGGTTTGAAACGTATCCCAGTTCTTCGATAATTTTAAGCATGATCAGCGTTTAGCGATTTCAGCCTCCAAGCTTCATGCGTTTCGGGAATGGAAAACTGCATATTCCTCAATGCCTTTAGGAAAATACCATATAGAATTCATTAAATTTAGCAATAAATACGGGCTATGTTGTAAATTCCACAGAGAACAATAGTAAAGGTTCACGTGCTATGCTGTATGAACGGACCTCCCAAGGTCTTAAAAACCCCATGAGAGGAAACGTTTTCAAAACTAAAAAATAACCAGCGTTAGGTTATTACGTACAAAGGCAATGCGGTTTTTTACCAAATAAGTAAAAGAAAGCATCTGTTTGGGCATGTTTTCCATAAATGGTAGTTAAATGTATAAGACCATCGAAAATTAATGTAAAAATGCATGCTACATAAGAGGAAATTTTTTTCCAAGTACAGTTTTAGCAGGAGGTTAGATAGAAGTGCATTCAAAAACAGACATTTTGAAAAGTTCGAAATTCTATAAGAGTATGCTACAGGAAACATAGTATCATAACATTCTCTTACTAATTTGAAATGACATTTTAGAATTCCTGCCAAAATTTTGTGAAGTTGGTAGCGCACTATAACGGAAACCGTCATAATTGCGTCTGGCACCTACAGACCAAAAACATCTCCATGCCATCTTAGTTATTCTTGCTTTTCTACCAGATACCCTCAGTCGTATTTTAGGCATAGCGTGTTCAACTGTGTAACCCGAGTTTCTCCAAATGGAGAAAAATTAATTTCCAATAAATGGACCATAATCTCATTTTGATCTATGAAGTCTTTTGTAACTCGGCTGTTTCAAAGATACGGTAGATCCAATTATGCCTTCAAATAATTCCTTGTTAGGCATACTAAGTGCCAACCTAAATTAATTATTTATCATGCCGATACCTTTTAGACGCATAGCCTCCATTTCTTTGAACACCATCTTAGGTCACTTTTCCTCCTAATTAGTCCAGTTGTGTGTTTTCCCCAACAAATCACTATTTCTCTTTTCATATTAAGCTTTCCATGTTAACAGTCAACATGTTTTTCCCTATTAAACTTTCCTACTGAACTAAAATTATAAAAACTGTCTTTCGGATAGGTCCCTACACTGATCATTGCGGACTACACATATAACAATAGTTTCATAACCAATGGCATTTATTCTCTTTGAAAAGTATTATCTTACAGCTAATTTATTCACGTTTGAA